TATATTTTAAATAGTTTTTGGTTGGGTTTAATTGGCACCTGAGCCTGAATAGTAAGTAGGAAATAATCTGTTACGGGAAACGTCTATTCTAGTGTGAACCAATTGTTCGATGTTGTATTGTTAATTGTAGTAAATTAATATCATCATAAATCAGCCACTCTCGTCCACTTCTACACAAAGGCCTCCCTCAGTTCTTTTTGACATAGTACTTTCATTGTTGACATGGTCCTAGATAAATATAGTTGATTTTAGGCGATGGAGAGAAGTAACAATATTTTTCTGAAAGTAGGCTGTTAATAAAAAAAATTGTACAACATAAACTATTTTATCTATTATTACTCCCATTCACTTTACGTGGCTATCCCATTGGGAGTTTCACAAAGTACCTTGCAACGTGTATCAGCATACTCGGAAGATATTATAGAGGAGAGAGAGAGTGAGAGAAACTAGGAAAAGTGAGAAAGGGACTATAGAGATAGGAAAACAATGCATTTGGAGACACTAGGGAGGAGGCATAGAGATGAAAAAGGAAAGAGAAAAAGAGAAGGCGGGAAATGGAAGGAAAAAAATATTGTGAAAGAGGGTGTGGGAAAGGGGAGGAAATATGGTTAGAGAAGGAGTGGGTGTATAGAGAAAGAGAATTATGGAAGGAGTGAGAAATATCTAGAGGATGGGGGAGATAAGGAGTGGTTATAAGGAGGTCTATAGAGAGGCAGGAGACGAGATATGAAGAGTTTACATGGGAAGTTTAATGTCCGTATAACGTCAATAAACGGTTAGAATGCTGCTATTTTCATTAATTGAAGGTTTGGGTCTATAAAACCAGCATGAGACGACTGGTATTTTATGGATATGAGACGTGATAAAATGCAATTTATTGATTACGTGACAATTTGAACGTATGTTACAATTATCATTATCAAAATAGTTTAGAATTGTTTTTCTTCGTGTTATCAGCTCACATTTTTCTTAGTGAACAAAATATTTTGAACGTCTCATTTTACATTTAAAACATAATCTCATCACTGCATAATTACATAACTCAACATGGGTGGTTTCTCGATACGGTGTAATATGGGATTTACTTGAAACGTGAAACTGCTGACTACGTGAACACATGTAGTTTGTTAAAACTGCCAACTGTCAATAATACGATAATCTTTGTTCTGCGTCGAACCCTCGAACCAGTAATAAAAAAATTTAATAAACCCATCAGAATATAAAATATGTAATACAAAATAAAAGTTGTAAACTGAATATTTTATATATAGCAAAAAACCATAATCAATTGTACTAAAAATTACATTTTTTTTTGTGTTTTTGACATTTTGATTCCTAATCCGTAAATTATTTTCTGTAAATGTTAATAATGTGCCCATAACATGCGGTTACTAGTGTTGATATATTCTTAATGATAACTTCTTTTTCCAGTATTCAGATCTTGCTGCATTATATTGATAAGCTTTCTTAATTTTCTCTGCTTTCAATGAACTCGTATGTTCATTGTCCCAAACATGTTGGCATTTCATTTCTATATCTTTCTAGAACCTTTCTTCCATAAAGGTAGAAAGGTTCTATTGTAAACCAAATTTCGTCTACTGCGCCGTGGTCATGAGTGTTTGCACTATCTCTATCTAGAACTAAGTGGGGCTGGTTTAATTTACAATACGGTTGCCTAAATTGGATGGGTCCAATTTGCAAGTCATTTGCTGGTCCAATTTAGGAAACCTTGTTCTAAAACTAAACAATATCAAAATTCTCCCACAACAGGTTTTACCAATTTCGAGGTTAGGTTACGAAAATAAATCCTAAACTATGGCCTCTTTAATGAATCTTGAGAAATAAAGATATTATAAATGTTGTGATTACTTACTTGAACGGTAAGCTTCGACCTTGACTTTAACACGCTGGTTCCAGTATAAATTCGTGATGATCCGAATCCAATCCTACTCTTTGTAGGGCGGCGAACATCTGGTGCTGACAACGGTCAAATGCCTTGGCGTAGTCAATAAAATAAGTATAGACATCACAACTGACATTGCGGTATCTCTGCAGTAGGACTTTGGAATCACGTGTACCCATGGAATTGCGGAATCCAAATTGCATTTCACCGGGTTTACTTTTGGGTTTACTTTTGATGAGTTTTTTTAGTTTGAGTTGTATCTGGGTGATGAGACGTCTGCTCTTGGGTAGGTCTTCGCCGAAGTCAAGCTGTTCTTGAATCTTTTGTTAATGAGAATAAAGTCATATCTGGTTTCTGATGATATTGTTAGCGGTATCTGCAGGTGACTTCCACCTATAAAGTCATCTCGTGGGAAGTCTAAACCAGGTATTAGCAATGGTAAAATCTTCTTCCCGACAAAATTGGATAACTCGGTCTCCCCTTTCGTTTTTCTCGCCTAAGACGTGTTGTTCGGCGATGTCTTCTATTCTGCTTTCGCCAACTTTGGCATTGAAATCACCCATGACGATGGTAAGCTCGTTCTTCTTGGTATATTTTAGTGCTTTTTGTACAAGTGCGTAGAACTCCTCGATATCCTCTTCTGGCTTTTCTGATATTGGAGCGTAAATTTGAATGATGTTTAGAGAGAGGTAGCACGCTGATCACAGCCCCCGCAACATTTTTGCTCAGAATCACCGCTACGCTGTTCCAGTGATGTGGTTTATCGTTTCACGCATAATATGCTCATCCACACAGCACTGTCCCGAGCCTGGCCATCACATCTCGCTGATTCTCATCACGTTGATATTTAGTCTTTTCATTTCTTGAATGGTGTGTGTCTTTCTCCCTTCAAACATACTTCGAACATTCCAAGTACAGATTTTTTGAACGTTCCACGTGCACACTTTTTCTCTATTAGTGATTACATATTGGTAAGGATTTCGTGGGTTGACGACCTGGGAAGCCTTACATTTTCTTGTTCTTCCTCCCCTGCCGCATCTTGGTATCCGTAGTCCATGATATTGGTTTACATTAACCATGATGAATGAATTAGGGACTAATTTTATGGACTGGTTTCCCGTTGCCTTCCTCATGGCAGTGTCACAGCCGTTTGACTCAGAGTATATTTTTTTTAATTTCCTTTAGTCTTAATCCAGTAATGATATTACTGCTGCCTAATGCCATGCCCTCAGTACATCCGCGGGTACTTATTTGGTTATGCCTTATTCGTACCTGTCCTGCATATCTGTAGGAACATTCCCTCTCAGCCATTGGGACGCGCTGTGTCGGGGTTGAGGACTTCCCCGCCTAGTCTGTCTTACTGAAAGGCCCCTACTCAATTCAAAACCCCTCCTCCCATGCAAGTTGAGACCAGCCACGGCAATATTTTCTCAACCATTGTTTACAGCTGTAACAGGTTTCGAGATGCAGTTTTAGTTGGTATTAACGGATAACACCGCTTGTTGTCGATTCGCTCAAATCACCAAATCAGCATAGTTCCAATTTAGGAGCTGGTCCAATTACTGGGTCCAACCCTGTATATATATAGAAGCGGGAAGAAGGAGATAGAAGTATGTACAACTCTTCATGATTCAACACCTGAATATATATATATATATATATATATATATATATATATATATATATATATATATATATATATATATTATTATTAACGACACATAAATAATACATTTATCTAACTAATGAATCCATAATATTGTGAAATTAAAAAAGAAACAACGCGGTATACAGACGCGAATAATAAATTATTCAGTTTTATGACATTGTGGTTGCGTCAGTACATTAAATATAATTATAAACTTTTTATGTCATTTGTTAAAACTTTTAGATTACTGCGAGTTTTCAAACTAAATAATGTATGAAACTCTACGGAAAACTGAGCTGTATATTTTATTCCAGAACAGGAAGTCGAAGTAGTCCGAAAAGAGTACATTTAAACAATTTATGGGTGTCTTCGTTCAGGTAAATGCTGCTGGGGTAAAGAGGTGTAGAAATGAAAAGTACCCCAGTCTATCTGTGAAAAAATCATATATCTCACGTAAAAATCTTATCCAGTTTTTTGAAGGTTCTAAAAGGTGTATGATGAATCTTCTTCTTCTCATGGCGCCGCCTCCTTTCGAAGGTTGGCGATCCAAATGGCAATCGTAGTTTTGGAAACAGCTGAGCGAAAGATTTCTGCGGATGACCGATCGAACCATCTCAGGTCTTTTAGCCACTAGTTCTGGCGACTTCCTACTGATCTTTTGCCCTGTACTTTTCCTTCCAGTATAACTTGAAGTAATTCATATTTTTCGAATCTCAACACATGACCCAAGTATTGCATTTTCCTCTCTTTGATCCATTCTTAGTAATTCTTTCTTACGCATTCGACGAAGTACCTCAACATTAATAACACTTTGTACCCATGTACAGTTTTAGTGCCAAAACAGGCACTAAAAGTCTTACTGCGAAAGATCTACATTTGATTAAAAAAAATATTTATAATGACAGAAAACAAGTTATCAAAATTCCGAAGTGCGTCCAGGAAGTACATGACTCGTTAAACTCCGTGGAAGTGACAACCAACCAAAAAGAACAATTTTTATTGAAAAATGATCCGGTAAAAAAATGTGTTGCTTTTTCTTGTGTATCTAACTTAACATTTTTAAGTAAATTAGAAACAATTTATGTTGATGGAACGTTTAAATACTGCACTCAATTTTTTATTCAACTATTTACAGTTCACGGACTCGAAAAGGGACACTATGTGCCGTTGGCATTCTTTTTGCTTTTAAATAAGTTAACAAACTCATATGTGACTGCCTTAAATTGTTTAAAGACGGAGTGTCAAAAATTGAACTTAAATTTTAGTCCCAAGGTTGTGTATGCCGATTTCGAAAAAGCGATCCATGCAGCTGTAAGTGAAGTGTTTCCATCTGCGAAAATAAAAGGATGTAGGTTTCATTTCGGGCAATCATGGTGGAGAAAAATTCAAAAAGTTGGTCTGGCTACTGATTATTCAAACGACAATGAAGTCGGACAATAGCTTAGATATATGTTTGGTCTACCTTTCCTAGATCCATTAGAAGTAGGTGAGTGTTTTGCTTTAGACTTAGACACAACACCAAGCCGTACAACAATTTGTTGACTACAGAAGGTTTTAGCTACTCATTTGTCTAACGTAGGTGATTAAACGTAAGACTGAAAAAATAAATGCAAAATAAAAATACAAAAAAACATACAGAACAATATAATAATAATGACAGAACCCCGTATAAGATAATTGAGACATGCAAATTATTATGCACTTAATAATGTAATCGGGATCATATGTAAATATTAATCCTGTAACAAAATGAAATTGATATCGTGTATTTTGAATGGTCTCTAATATTTTCGATAAAATTGTTGAAACACCATATGTTTATCTTTAATGCATTTGCAGCAACGCAAATATTATTATATTAATGAGACAAAATGTATAATTTAGCGTATATTTTAATGAATATTCTAGGCATAAACAAAATAAATTAACTAAAATGATAAAAGACAAATTTATAACACAATATTTTATCATTTCTATCTTTTTTACACACACATATAATAACCATAGAAAAACATTGTATTTGACATATGCCATGGAATACGACTTCCTGGTGGTTAGTCACTACCATACAAGACCAAAACAAATATAAATATAACCTAAATTTTGTAAATTATGTATACCTACAATAATTGTTTTATTGGAAGTCACCATCATCATCATCATCGGCCGTTTTGAGTTCACTCCTGGACATAGATAATTCCAATCCATTCTTTCTTGAGCACCCTGAATCCAGTTGTGATGAATGCGCTTGATGTCATCTGACCACCTTATTGGAGGACGTCCTCGATTACGATAAGCATCGTGTCTAGGTCTCCATTCCAGAATTTTCTTCGTCCACCTTCCATCTTTTAATCTGGCAACATGCCCCGCCCAGTTCCATTTCAATGTTGTAATCCTTTAAACTGCATCAGTAACACCAGTTTTTCTCCTAATTATTCTATTTGATACTCTGTCTCTGAGGGATATATTCAGCATTGACCTCTCCATCGCCCTATGTGCCACTTGTATTTTATTGTTCACTTTTCTGGTAAGGGTCAATGTTTCTGTTCCATACATTAGAACTGGGAGTACACAAACAGACCCTAAGCCTTAACCAAATCCTGTTATGTCAAGTTTTATTGCCCATATGAGGTTCGTCCCATTCCAAAAGCTTTGCCGCGCAAAGGGAACGTTTCTAAGAGGCACAAAAAGGAAGGTCTGGCATTCTTACCGACACCCCAGAATTTAACGAAATATAAGAAAGTAAGAAAGACAGTATGGAAAAGAAGCGCAAAAAGGAACTGCAAAAAACAAAAAAAGTAAAACGTAAAACGTAAGTTAAATATTTAAGAAACATCGTCAGAGGAAGATCAAACTGATTTTGAGATTAGAAGTGACAGCAGTAATTGTAATGATAATTCTTTGTCAGATTTAGAAATTGATTTCATTCAATTTACATCAGATGATCTTCAGAAAGGTGATTTCATTTTGGTACATTTAAAAGGGAAAAAGCATTCAGGATATGTTGTAGCCGCAATATCAGGAATGGTGGACGAAACAGAGTTCCAAATAAAATATTTAAAGAAAGCTCATTCCTTTGAACATGGCTATACATTTACGGTTGAAGATGAAAAGGAATATATAACTAACATCAGCAATATTATACAAAAACTTCCTCAACCACGTACACCAGGTTCATCCTCTCGACAATCAAACACATTTATCTTTCCAATATCTTTTGATAAAATTAATTTAGGATAGTCTGTGTATTATTAGTAGTTTATATTTTCAATAAAATTTTCACGAATATTAGGAAGTATTTTGTTGTACACATTCAATTCTGGTTGTACTATATATATATATATATATATATATATATATATATATATATATATATATATATATATATATATATATATATATATATATATTATTATATATAATAAATTCTGATGAATTCGCTACTTGTGCTTTAAAAAAGGTGCAAAAATAAAAATTTTCAATTGTCCATGCTGCCACCTACAAAATCTGCAGCTGAGCAACACTCGGTTCGTGTATATTTCCAAGTACAGCAGTTGCTTGGAAATAACCTGAATGCTACTGAGTGGGGGGTGGGAACTAACTCAAAATCTATTCTCAAATCAAATAATGTCATTATTATGATAAAACTGCAGAAATGAATTATTTTTAATGTTAATTATTTTAAAATGTTTGATTTTTACAAAAACAAATTTCTTCGTTTTAACAATTCAAATTATTTATTAACAATTTATAAATACATATTTGTTTACTAAAAGTAACAATTTACTTTAATGTATAAATTGCAAGCTCAAAAAAAAACATGAAGAAAAAATGCAATTACTTTATAACATACAAGCCTTCAATACAAGCCCTTACAGATTTTGGAGCACTTTACTATTTGTTTTTATTTCAAAACCCGAAATTAAACAAACTGATGGTCCCCTACTTGATACTCGCCGATTCACATTTGAAGTGAATGTCCCTCACCACCACATCTCATGCATTCCTAACGACATTTTACGCGAAAACGGTTTTTTATTTGTCTTTTTTATGGATGTTGCCATGAAGCGCATTACGTAAAACTTTTCATATAAAAAGTATTTGGCAAGACGAGGGTATTTGTTTAAAAACGAGCCCTCTATCACTTATGGTTACATGGCAAATGTATGCCAACTTTGACCTTCAATATCTCGGCAACCAGTAAGCCGAATGTATCTTTTTGTTTTTTAAAAGAAGCGTCTTTTAATGTTCTTTAAGTGTATACATTTTGAAATTAATATGTTTAAAGCTCGTAAAGTTATTTAATTTGTTTATAAGCCTAAAAATTGTTTATAACTTAAAAAAAAAATTAGGCTCTCCTAGCGAACCGATTTGAATTTTACAAAAAGCGTTTGAAAGTTTGAGACTTCCTTTATATGTAAAAAAAATGCAACTATCTGAGGGTCTTATTTAGGGCCTACTATGAATTTGAAAATTTGCGATTTTTTTCCAGTAGGCTGAATTGCAAAATTATTATGCAAAACATATCCGACCGATCTTAACAAAACTTAGCACACGTTTTAAACATATTAAAAAGTTTTTCTAGGCGGAATATGGAACTTGTAAGTCAAGTTTAGAAAGTCGAAAACATTTAAAGGATTTTAATTTTTTTGTACTTTTTTGCCAATTATTGCTATTTTTTTAACAATCAACATTAAATTTTCACTTTCTAGCTAACGAAATATTGTGTAAAATTGAATAACGAAACTTTTAACTTCTTATAATTTTTTCTCTAGGATCAATAGTTTCCGAATTATAAATGAAAATAAGAGCAAAAAAATGAGAAATTTTTAATTGTTTTCAGATTTTGTTAAATAAAAAATTTAGCACAGGGTTTGCGACTGGCGCATATCGTGATTATCGATACTGGGCGTATCCTGAAGGGATTCCAGCAAAAAAATAGCTTCCTATGGAAAATTTCCATTATGGTCTGAATTTGTACAGATGCTGCCTAGGCTATAGGTACAACAGACCGGTTGTTCCTAGGGACACATACATACATAAAAAAGGGATAAAATTGGTAGAAATATATATGTTGGAAAATTGGCATTTTCGAATTAGCTTTACAAAGGTATGATCAACTGTCCAGATTTTATTATTTTTTAATATCTTGATTTGTCCAATTTATAAAAATCAAATTGTACAAATTTTCCCTAGGTACAAAATATTCTCCTAACCGCATTTTTGTTTGTCTTCGACATTGCTTCAAGTATTGGGGCTATTAACTTTCCCAGCACAGAGGACCGTTTAAGTCAAAGCTTTCATCTCTAATCCAAAATAGCGCAAATTCGGAAATATACTTTACATACGTTGTTGGTTAATACTATTAAAGATATTTTTATATGTCAAGTCTCAAATTATCCCACTCAAACAAAATACGCGCCGACCCTGACACCGCTCTTAAATAACAGAACAGTCTGAATGAAAATATGTGTTCAGTGAAATTCAGGTTATTGCGAATATAATCAAAAAGTGCGCTACAACCAACCGATGACTTTACAGATACAGGAGAAAGGGGACAGACATTCTTGTCTCGGTCAAATTCTTCTTCGACCTGAATCGAACCACAGATCGAACGGTCCTGCGCGCGAGTATTCTGTGAGAACTTCGCTGTCACCCAAGCTTTTTTCACAGTATAAAATATGGTGGAAACCTATCTCAGGAAAAATTGCCACTCAAAATTAACCAAACTATTTTGAACAACGAGAATGTCAACTGAAACAGAAATAATGCACAATAGAAATAAAGGGGCTATAAAACGTATGTTAATAAATTAACACAAGTTAAACACACAAAATTATATAAAAAAAGTAAATTATTGAGGAAAGATCAATACTATTTATTTTACTTCAAGAATACTTACAAACCCCTACGCAAATTACAAACCGATAATAAACCTCATGACAATGAAGATGTTCCTTGAGACAAGAAATCAGTATTATCTTTAAATTTTCATTACTTCCTGTGATTCAAAAGATTTAGGTATTAAGCAGTAAAACAGTTTTTTTATAGCGTTGCTCACAGCCACAAATTGACTCTTTGTTTTCATACGTTCGCTCTTTAGAAAGAATCAATCAAATGTTCCGCTGAAACAACAGCTTCCTCAGAAGCATGATAATTTTACATTAAAATCTGTAGAAGAATTATACAGAGTAATAAATCAAGCACATAAAGTAATTTCATAGCCGTGCTAAAATATATTTAAGGTGTAATATATTAGAAAACATTTCTGTTCTTTTTATATAAATAGGTTCGCATCGAAAATATTTCTGATTTAATTCCTGTATTATTATTATTATTATTAAAATTCTTAGAATCAAGGTCAAAAAACCCTCTTAATTACATACTAGTTCGCTCGGAAAACCTTAACCTAGTTCGCTCCCGTGGTCAAGCGGATTAAGTATTTATCTATTAAGTTCTAGGAAAATTAACACCAGGAAAATAGGTACTGCGGCTTTTGTATTTTATATTAGAAATTATATCAATTATTGGTAGTTACATATTTATATAAATACAGTCATAAGCGCGCTAATAACCGGCAAAATAACGCAAACGATAGAAAACATATGAAGTTGTAAGATAAAGAGATGAAACCAGTAGAGATGAGAAATTTAGCGATAGAAACCTATAAATTTACATTCTATTCACTGTTTCCCATCTTTAGACGTATCAGAGGAGGATGTTAACTAAAACTGTCACTGTCACAGCGGTAGTGTCCAAACTCTTACGTCTAAAACGATAAATGAATCGTAAATTTATAGGTTCTATCACTAAATTTCCCATTTAAATCCCATTTCCCATCGCTAAATTAAAACGAGGCATTTATTTCGCTAGAAATCTAAATGAAATATATTTGATAAAATCAAATCTACTAATTTTATTTTGCTTTAATTTCGCTATTTTGTGATCAACAAATTTTTGACGCTCTAGAAAAGGGTTTTGACCCATATATTTTGGTGGCTCATTGCATGTATACCTCGTTTACACTGATGATGGATTTAACAATCCGAAAACGTTTTGTAATATATTTGTGATAGCCCGTTTGGGCATTTTATTATATACTTTTTATAAAGGATTTGAGATAATTTTTTTATATAATATCTATTTCATTTGAAAACTGTTGAAATTCAATATATTGACATACTTTTTTGTTTCAGTTTGTGCAAGCATGGATATTAAAAATTCACTGGAATCATTCAAGAAGCTAAAAGATTGTGAAGTGATAGAAGGTTTTCTTTCTATTCTTCTATTCGATAATGTGAACGAGACTGAACTGTCGAAGATGAGTTTCCCGCGTTTGACTGAAATAACTGACTATTTATTATTATATAGGGTAATTGGTCTTCGTAGTGTAGGACAGCTATTCCCCAACTTAGCCGTAATCCGCGGTCAGCAGACATTTTTCGATCGTGCATTTGTGATATTTGAAATACCCACTTTGCAAGAAATTGGATTACACTCCCTTACCGACATTTCCCATGGTGATGTGCATATCGACAAGAATCCATCGTTGTGTTTCGTTCATACGATAGATTGGAATAGGATTATCAAAGACAATTCCTCAAAAATAGTTTTAAATAGTTTAAAGCCCGATAACGAGTGTCCCGTGTGTCCCGTGAGTGTCGGAACCGGGAATGATACTGTGAAGTGTCCGGTAATGATCGATAATGAAGGAAAAGAGAAGCACTTGTGCTGGAACAAGAACCACTGCCAAAAAATTTGTCCAGACAAATGCAAACACTGCAACAACAAGCTTGAGTGCTGCGACGAATCCTGCTTTGCTTGCCGAAACGACAACCCAAAAATTTGTACTGTTTGTCCTCATTACACCTATGGACATGGCTTACAGAAGACTTGTAGGCAGGACTGTCCGCATGGATTGTATAAGGTAAGTGAAGGGATAGATTCCAATAAAGCCACATGCATGCCAATGAAAGGTAATCAAATCGAAATACCCCAATTCGAAAATCTTAATAAACATGAAGCGTATTACGTAACAATAAAACACTGAAAACTTTGTTTTCAAACTTACACAAAATTTATTTTAAATCTTATCACTACAGCGGTTTCGGCTAATTGCCTTTCTCAAGTGATCAATTTTTGGCTTGGGTTTACATGATTAATGAGAGAACTTAGAATATTTAGGTGTAGAATGTGAAGTAGCGTTAAACAAAACTGCTAACAATATCGAAAAAAGTATAATTGCCAAATCTATTACAGATGTGTGTAGTGAAACTAAGAATTCCTGTTACAAAGAGAATAAAACAGCAAGTTCAATTAAAAATAAACCAATAGAAAACAACATTGTGTTTACAAAAGCAGACAAAGGTAACACTACTATTGCTATAGATAAAATAGAATATAATAACAAAACAATAGAATTCTTAAATAATCAAAATATTGCAACTTTACACTAAGATCCGACAGAAAAATATCAAAAACAAATTAAGCTAGCGTTAGAAAATTCAAAAGCAATACTAAATTCAATAGAACAGAAATACCTCAATATCATGAACCCACAGCCTCCTAAATTATACTCTTTCATTAAACTACACAAACCGGATCACCCAATAAGACCTGTAGTTTCTTTTTATACAGCTCCGTTATATAAACTTTCAAAAAAACTGTTAGAGATTATTTTAGAACACACTAAATTTTCACCTCAATTTACCATAAAAAATACAATAGAACTAGTTAATAAAATACAACATTTTCAGTTACCTAACAACTCCAGATTAATTTGATTTGACGTAAAAAGTCTTTTTCCTAGTATCCCTCCTACCTAAACTTTTATTCTAGTAAAAAACCTTTTAGACCAAAATAGTACAAATCCAATAATTACATCTGAAATTTTACATCTTCTTGAAGTTTGCATAAACCAGGACTATTTTGAATTTAATAATAAAATATAATATACAAATAACAGTGCAGGACTTATAATGGGTAATCCTCTAAGCCCATTGCTATCAGATATTTTTATGGATCATCTAGAGACAAATATTTCAAAACATCCCGTATTCAAACAGTTTTTATATTGGTGGAGATACGTAGACGACGTACTGCTATCTTTCACATGAACTAACAGGCAACTCGACCAATCTTTATCTTATATTAATTCACTTCATAGTCATATTGAATTTACAATAGAAACAGAACAAAATCAATCCATAAATTTTTTAGATTTAAAAATTAGTAGACTTCAAAACAAACATGACTTCTCCATATTTCATAAACCTACCCATACTGACACGACTATACACAATTCATCATCCCATCCAACACAACATAAACTGGCAGCTTATCATAGTATGTTACATAGATTAACAGAAATTCCGATGTCAAAATACAACTTTGAGACAGAATTAAATATAATTAAGCAAATAGCAGTATACAACGGATACAACAAACAAACAATTAATAAAATGTTTAATCAAAAACTACACAAGAATGCCCTGAAATTAGTATTTTCACCACCAGAGAAAAAACCAAGTACCTTCTGCTCGATTACATATACAGGCAAAATAACAACAAAAATTGCCAAACACATAAAAAAGAAAGGAATAACACCAGCTTTCCGAACAAATAACAACCTAGGCAAATATATTAAAAATAACAAGATTAAAAATAAAAAACACTTAAATAGTGGTGTGTACAAACTTTAATGTGGCGACTGCCCAAAAACTTACATCGGTCAAACTAGTAGAAACTTTGATAAACGAATAGCAGAACATAAAAGGGCTTTCAAAAATAGAAAAACAGATTCGACATACGCACTTCACCTTCTAGATCATAATCATTCTTTTAATGACAAATTTAAAATTCTTCAGATTCAAAATAAAGGCCTTAAGCTATCTTTGTTAGAATCTATGGAAATCAACAAATTAAATGAATGACCAACTTGAGACAAACAGTTCTCCTCTCCTCAACCTATTTCATTAGAGACTATAAATTTGTAAACCCAAGCCAAAAATAGATCACTTGAGAAAGGCAATTAGCCGAAACAGCTGTAGTGATAAGATTTAAAATAAATTTTGTGGAAGTTTGAAAACAAAGTTTTCAGTGTTTTATTGTTACATAAAATGAATTTCCATCAAGTAACGGTCGAATCCATCAATTATGAAGCGTATTGGTTAAAACGTAGGTGCGCACCTTACTAAATTATTATCTTGTATTTATTTATTTATTTAGACACCTTACAAACACTATAGACTAATAGTAATTACATGTAAAGTGTTTGAGACAAAAAAAATACAATAAATGAAAGAAACAAACATTAATAATACAATAAACCCCTTAAACCTAGTGCTGATCAGCAAGCAATGTCTTAAGTTCGCAGCTTTTTATATTAAATATATCCACATGAGTCAGTCTATTAAATACTTAGCACGTGGTGTTCGTGTGTATTAAGGTATAAAAAATGCTTATTAAAAGCTTATTTTTTTTTATTTTAAAGATCTTTTCGGAATTGAGGTATCCATCATCAGTTTAATAAAAAGTTGTTAAAAACATTGGAAGGACATCCGTATTAAAAAACAATTCTCATGGTATTTTATAAAGGTAAATGCAATAGACTGTTGAACTTGTTGATTAATAAAAACTGAAAATGGGGACATCTTACATGACCCCCTGTAGCTGGTGAGGTTCTATCGACTTACATTACCTCTGATCTGTGCTGGAGTCTAGGGCTAACTCAGTGTTCTTTTTATATATTTAAATTTTAACTTACTTGTTTTTTAATATTGGTATTTTTACTCTCTCTTTTAGTAAACTGATGATGGAATGATTCAATTCCGAAAAGATCTTCTTTAAAATAAAAATTTTAAGCTTTCAATAAGCATTTTTTATACCTTAATACACACTAACACCACGTGCTTTGTATTCAACAGGTATACTAGCCACTCCTGGATATCTCCACTTCATGGTTTGTTCCAGTTTCACTTTTAATATTAAATACTTCATTACAAATTTTTAATATATTGTTTATTGGTGATATGTTTCTATAGTAATTTGTAAAGAATAGATCTAGGTTAGTTATCCTTAACCTACTCTTGGATACTCTAAAGTAAATAAACTCAATTAAACCACAGTTTGTGTACTTAATACTGTTAACAATCAAGTATATGAACATAATGGAATGGTGACTGCAACTGAAATGAATCTAACATTACCCTGTATGAGACCACATATGGATATTATTTTTCCTTACGTATAGAAATCTTAAAAATCGTTTTTGCACTTTTTTAATCATTTCTGAGTTTGCAAATGCAGTAGGAGACCAGATGATTGAAGTATATTCTATATGTGGTCTCACCAGGGCATTATAGAGTTCTATAATTGTGCTTATAACCAAACTGTACCAGTTTATTTAAAAGAATACAGTGATTTACCTTATCAAATGCTTTTTCGCAATCAGTATACAGAACGTCCAACTGTTCCCCTGCCTCAATAGCCTTATAAATATGTTCAGAAAGAACACAGAGATTAGTTACTGTTGATTTGTCTTTTACAAAACCATGCTGGAATTTACTGATTTTACTCTTAGCAGCTCATATATATCATCGTAAAGAATACTTTCAAAAATCTTAGCAATACTATTTAACAGGCTGATAGAGCTGTAGTTTTGAATGTCTTTTTTTTTTATCATTTTTATGTATTGGAGAAATTGTTGCCACTTTTAAAATATCTGGAAAATATTCGTGTTCAATCGACATATTAAACAAAAACGCCAAAGGTTTAGCCAACAGTATTGACTACTGATTTTAGCCAATATTTACAGTTTTTATCGGAGCTTTTTCATCATCGTCTACCCCTGCCATGTTGCCACACACCGCGGAAATCTAGGCCAATTAATCTAGATTTTTACTCTACAAAACTATATAGGCGGGTTTGACAATTGAAGTGTGTAGTGTGAGATAATACAAAAAGACTCACATCTAGGGATTCGTCAATTTTTTAGTGGAAATATGGTTAAATAAACAATCAAAACGCCAATGTTAAAATAATTTTTTACACAAGTGAAAAACAAGTGTTCATTCAAGTTTATTGATTCAATTTAACATTTATACAAACTATTGTACTGTATTGAAACTCCAATTTACAAACACCCTGTACAATAATTTCATGTTTTAATTATTCCAATACATAGAAGCAACAATTATAAATGAACAGGCAAAACATATTGATAGAAAATTTTGTAATAAGGTGTAATTAATTAAATTCAAGGATACTGCGTTTGCGGTAAAACGCAAATACATTGAAAAATATTAAAGTTAGGTATAGGAAATGTTTAACGAAGTTACATTGTTTTTTCTTGTACATTGTGCATATAAACTTAGATTACAGAATTAAGATTTCATTTTATAAGACCATGCCACATGTAGAAATAATTTTTAAGCAATTGCAGATGATTCATACTGACCCCATAAGGACTAAACAAGATCTGCAAACATTTGAAAAGACAATGCACAAAAAATTCGTGTTAAAATGGATACAGTTATTGACCAAGTAGATTCGGTTATAGTAGAAACTGATGAACCTATTCTTTAGAACATGCGACGTTGTCCTCATTCCGATATATGTTTCAATGGATAAAAAAGTAGAAGCATTGGTAGTTTGTGATTCCATTTTACAACAGATTTTGGCTAGATTTATTTTACATTTAGTAGCTACCGCATTTTTAATGAAAGAACATTTTAGTGAATATCAAAAATATTTCCAGACAAATGGCCCTGTGACACTGTAAACGTATATCCATCTCTCGATCATCATCCAGGCCGTGGGGAAAAAAGTACTCTCTAATCTAGGAATTTATGTAATGTGGCCTAGATTATAAAGGGCAACCTCAGAAGCAATCCCCCATTTAATTCAACAAAAAATGTTTCGTTATTG